GCTATGATAACTTTATGGAAACATACAATTTGGCCAATATTAAATGTGTGAATGTGGCCATTGTTCGTTGGATCTTGTTGTCAACCCTCAAGAGTGCCGATGCTGCATGGAAATAGAGAAGAATGTTTTGTGATAAGTTTGAAGGCTATGGAAGTGTATGCAGTTGTAAGTATCTTTTCGTTACATCCATGTAGGATTAGATTTCTTATTTAATTGAACGTACAGCGATGTGTTCAGTAATTTTGCCATTCACATTGTGCATTAAAACTTCGAGAAAATATTCTGAGAATACTCCATGGAAAAAATTGTAGAAATAAGGATATCACTGTTATTGCAGCTAATGTTAGAACGATATGAAGAACTGACAGAATATGTTCTTAAATGTTGTAGGGTAATAATCCTGCTCCAATTGAAATTAAAACAACACCGTTGAAGTTAGAAAAAGTTCAAGACATTCCTGTTGCTGTGATTGCTAGTAACAGGCCACATTATCTTTATCGTGGCTTACGGTCAATGTTGTCAGCTCATGGAGCAAAGAAGGAGTTATTTACTGTATTTATTGATGGATTCTTTGAAGAACCAGCTGCTGTGGCAAGGCTATATGATGTAAAAGTCGTACAGCATATTCCTATTAGCAGTAAGAACGCTAGAATATCACAGGTTGGTAAGGCTTTTTCTTTGAGAGTGTTTACACAATGTAATCAAAATTTTTTCGTTCTTTTTATTACTTTTTAAATGTATTTTCTCTTCCTCCCAGCATTACAAGCGAACATTGACAGAGACGTTTAATGCTTATCCCAATGCTCGGTATATGATTATTTTGGAAGAAGATTTAGACGTATCTGTGGACATATTTAGTTATTTTAATCAATTTTGCCTTTAATGGATACAGATGAAAGTCTGTACTGTATATCGGTGGAATGATCAGGTTTGTTATAAACAAAAGCTAACAACATTCTTTTCATCTTTTAGTCTTTTACTCTATTGTTGGCTTGTTTTGCTACACAACAAAATTTTAATTCGTTTTCAACTTTATTAACGTGGTTTTGAACGTCTCTGATTCTTTTGCTTTTTGTCGAGTCCAGTTTATCTCTGACGAGAGTGCAGAATGTAAATTAAATAAATCTCAAATATTTTTCACATTATAATGGAAAATGGAAATCTCCGTACAAGAATCTGTTATCTTATTGTAGTTTTCATTGGTTACATTATGTTTGTCTTTATCGAGCTTCCTTCCTTGCACATCACGAAGTGAAATTTAGGAAATTTACCTTTGAAATGGTACATCCATTGAAAAACTAATTTATGTGATTAATGATTTAATTGCAAAAACAAGTATTTCTATTTTTAGGGTTATGATCACACATGTAATGATCCTGCAATGTTATATCGTGTAGAAACAATGCCTGGTTTAGGCTGGTGAGAATTTTTATTACTACAAATGATTTTGTTTACGCTATGACATCACGCAACAGTGACGTCATGCTACAATGAAATCACACTACAAGCACATCACGCTGCAATGACATCACGCTACAATGACCTCACGCTGCAATGACATCACGCCACAATGACATCACGCAGCACTATAAATGTATAGATAGTATTAACTTCATTCTATCTATTATTTCTCTTTGCATTAACAGGTTGCTCAAACGACGACTTTATAAAGAAGAACTTGAGCCAAAATGGCCAACCCCTGATCCCTTTTGGGATTGGGATATGTGGATGAGGATGGACAGCAACAAAAAGGGACGTGAATGTATCATTCCGGATATCTCAAGAACCTAGCATTTTGGCGCCAAAGGCCTGAATATGAATGTGTTTTTTCAAGAATCCTATTTCAAAAAACATACGTTGAATACTGAACCTAACGTTAAGTTTAATGAATGTTTTATGCAGTGTTTTTGAAATAAATGAGATATGATCTTTAGCTGGACAATTTAAGAGGTAGACGATTGCTTAAATTGTCCAGCTAAGTGCGAAGATCATATCTCATTTAATTTTAAAGTTAAGTTTAATGTTGGATTGTTGAAAAAAGAAAATTATGAGAAGGAGATTGAACGGCTTGTAGGGTATGTCTTGCAGGATTTTATAAAATATTGACAACAATATTTTTCTTTTCACAGGACAATGAAGGAGATTTCTACTTAGTGATTCAGTGATCTAATTATCATCATAGTGCGTATATTTATGTCATTTGATTGTTAGAGATGTCTATCTACTGTTTTTTACAGGTTGGCAGAGCCGTTGGATCACAGTAAAAATCCTTGCAAGAACGAGAAAGACTTTGTTCATGAAACATCTGATAAAACATATATATTTTATATTGAAATGAAACATGCTAACGACTGGACAACATGGAATAATATAGCGAGATGTTTACGAATCTGGGACTTAGATGCTCGAGGATTTCATAAAAGCATGTGGAGATTATGGTTAAAGGGTAATCACGTGTTAATTGTTGGATCACCGGCTTCACCTTACGCCAAACATAAACCAATTAACGTAAAACCAATTTTCATTCCTAAAAAATCGGAGACTGCGTGATCATCTTTGATTAGAGATATCATTCGTTTATCATGCGGGATTTAAGCTAAATGAATGTGGGGAAATCTTGAAGTTTAAAAAACTTTAATGTAAATGTGATTGGATAAATTTTCATCATGGTTTGATCAAGGAAATGAACTCGTTGAACAAGGAATATAAGAGGAAAAGATAACTTTCAATTTGTTCAGTTTTACTGTTAATAATGTAATTTTAAGGATTACAACCACGGAAAAGAAACAATCGCGCTTTTCCCACAAAACATTTACCGCATTTGAAAGTCCTGCTATCGTTACATCGCTAAAGATAATTATTTGAAAACGAACTTACCTCTCATTCTTTCCCTTTGTCCCATCCTATTAGGATTGCTAAAATGAATCACTTGCTACCATTTAGTTCTGTCAATAAAATTCTCTCGTTAAATTATTACATTACATTTTACAATGGCAAGTCATATTATTGCAATAAGCAGGGCTCCAATGTTCATAATAAGTATTGAGCACGACAAAAGCTTTTCTATAACATGTGGGTGATTCCCACGTGAATAAATTACAAGCTTTTGATATGCCTTCTAATTTATTTGTTGACGTAACAAGTTGAATAAAGGTGGTCAGGTGGGAGAAAATGATAACTCTCCTAGCTATGGTGCATTGAATTGCGGTTTTGGGTGAGATAATTTTTTGTTCATACTAGATAAAATTTACCACAACACGACATGCTCTGTCTGCCGTCATAACCTTACAATCATTGATTTCGCAAACTCTTCATTGAGGAAACAAAAGAAATATTCTTTTGTTTTCTCCAAACCTCTGGGGAAAAGGCTTTGCTTTCTTTTACTAACCAATGTCGTTAGTTAACTTATAACCAGGCTTAATTCCTTTTGTCTTTGCCCTGCATATATTTTCATGCAATCAATGAATTTAATCCCTTTTTATCATGGTTTGAACAAAATTGACGAATGAATTAATAATTAATTCATGTGATATATGAAAGTTATCAGAAGAAAAAGTAGGGTCTTTCACTTCGATAACCCTATTTGACCGAGCTGTTCGTCTGGGAAAGGTGAAAGTCTGTTGAAAGTCGAAGACAGCCTTCAAGAAATGCGACTACTTGTTGGAAAGGACGAGCAACTGAAGACATGACACGGTTGAGATATTTTAGCCATGTTTGAAAGCGGCAGGTTAAATACAGAAAAATCGTCGATGACATAAAGATGTAAGTTTGAGATCGATGAATTAAAATGTATAACCCAATTGTGATGTGAATTCTCGTTACAGCATATTCAAAGCATCGTTATGAGTCCTATTTGTTCGAAGGAATGATCGATTTCTTTGGTTTCTTAGTATTTCTATGTTTCGATCTTGGAGCACAAAATGCCGTCAAGTTTCAGTTACATATTGAAGTGAGAACACGAACGAAACTGCCAAAAGTTTCCCACTATTCTTGACATCAATTATTGGACCTCTTCAATACATGTCCAGAAAATATTTTCATTTTTGCATTCATCGTTATCATTCACATAAGTGTGATGATTTTGCATTTTGCCTATTTCTAACAACTGGCCATTGTTAGAAATAGCAGTTCAATCCTTTGTCTTTGTGACAAAAGGATATAATATTTTATGTCTCCCGAGCAGGGCCGGATTAAGATGTGTGGAGGCTCTGAGCAGCAAAAATACGTAGTAAAGATCCCTTTCCTTACTCTAAACGCAATGTGCTGCTCATTTTTCAACAGTAAAATTTACTTTCAAATTTCGTAAAGCATTTGATAAAAGTATAAACTTCGAATATAGCGTGTAAAGCGGTTGCATACGACGAGTGAATGCTGCTACTTGAGATAAAGTAGTTATTGCGATTTTATTCTGGCAGTCTTTGATAAGCTCTTCCAAGTTTATTTCTGTTAGAATATTGTCCTCAATGCTCATCAGAGCAAAATGGCTGAGTTTACTGTGATTCGTTGTCATACGTGGTCTGTTCTTCATCAGCTGAAATTGATCCAACAAATAAACTAAATGCTTTTCCTTCGTCTTTAAAGCAACTATGTTTATTCTTCCTTTGAATAATGTGAAGGCCCTTGTTTGTGGAGGCTTCTAGACAGCTTCCTTTGGTTAATCCGTCCCTGCTCCTGAGAGGAACTACTGTAGCATCAAGTGATGTTATAGTAGGTGAGATAAAAGTGGGTAATTCACTTGAGAAACGTTCAAATGAATTACCTCAAATATATATTATAGAGTATACAAGATATTGCAACATGGGGCAAAATGTTGCTGAATCTTCAAATGCGATGATGTTTTATAAACCTTCGTACCTTACCGTAATAATTAAACAACCTTTTCAATGAAATCGAGCAGAGAATATATTGCATGAGACATTCGTTAATTATCTTGTTTTTATCTAGGTATTTTGAATTATATCGCATGTAATAAATCGTTTGACAATGTTACAGAACACTGCATGTGTTATAACATTGAGGGTGTTACAGCACAATGCACGGTTCAAACGATAAGCTTTCCGCGAGTCTTATAATCTTCAAAGAGTTGTTCACTTAACATACATGTTCAGTCATGTACAGTGTCGAGCGTACGGACAGTGAAAGAACGCGAACTCTGGCAGTGGTATGTGCTAAACAATTGTTTTTTCCATTAAACAAATAACTCCTTCTTCAGTCTTTTTAGGTACAAGAGATGAAGATCAGGAAGAAGATAGAGGAGTACGTTATTATTTTTCCTGTCCTTATCTTAACTTGTTTTTAGATTTTTCGTTTAGATGAGGAGGAGGCTGATGAAAAGTAGAGGAGGATGCTGACGGAGAGACAAGAAGGATGCAGATGAAGAGACGAGGATGCAGATGAAGAGAAAAGGAGGATGCAGATGAAGAGACGAGGATGCAGATAAAGAGAAAAGGAGGATGCAGATGAAGGGACGAGGAGGATGAAAATGAATGGACAAGGAGGATCAAGAACGGACAAGGAGGATCAAGAAGGATATAGAGAAGTATGTTACTTTTTCCTGTCATAATAACTTGATTTTTACGTACTTCGTTTAGATGAGGATGCTAATGCAGAAACGAGGAGGATGCAGATGAAGAGAGGAAGATGCCGATGAAGGGAGGATGCAGATGAAGAGAGGAGGATACCGATGAAGAGAGGAGGATGCAGATGGAGAGAGCAGATGAAGAGACGAGGACGATGCAGATGGAGAGAGGATGCAGATGGAGAGAGGATGCAGATGGAGAGAGGATGCAGATGGAGAGAGGATGCAGATGAAGAGGAGAGGATACCGATGAAGAGACGACGAGGATGCAGATGAAGAGACGAGGAGGATGCAGATGAAGTGACGAGGAATTCAAGTGAATTATCTCGATTATATATCATAGAATATTTGTATATTAATATATAATTGAGGTAAGTCATTTGATATTGCAACATGCGGGCAGAATGTTGCAAAATCTTTAAACTCGATAGTCTTTTATAAACCTTAGTGCCTTACCGTAATAATCAAACAACCTTTTGGATGAAATCGACAAGATTTGAGTAGAGAATATATTGCATGAGACATTCGTTAATTATCTTGTTTTTATCTAGGTATTTTTGAATTATATCGCATGTAATAAATCGTTTGACAATGTTACAGAACACTGCATGTGTTGTAACATTGAGGGGTGTCACAGCACAATGCAAGGTTCAAACGATAAGCTTTCCGCGAGTGTTATAATCTTCAAAGAGTTGTTCACTTAACATACATGTTCAATCATGTACAGTCGTGGATATCGATGTTTTAGCATGATAGAACTATAACAATGTGAAAGCACGATCTCCATAATCACTTGCTATGATTTTCATTCAACAATTTTTGTTGCATTTATGTGGACATGTCGGGCTTACGGATAATAAAAAACACGAACCCTAACAGTGGTATGTGCTTACAATTGTTTGCTTCCATCAAACAAATAACTTCTTCTTCAGTCTATTTTTAGGCACTAGAGACGATGATCAAGAAGAAGATAGAGAAGTATGTTCCCTGTCATAATCTTAACTTGATTTTAGATGTTTCGTTAAGATGAGGAGGATGCAGATGAAGATACAAGGAGGATGCAGATGGAGAGAGGAGGATGCAGATGGAGACGAGGAGGATGCAGATGAAAGAGACGATGGAGGATGAGGATGAAGAAGGATGCAGATGAAAGGAGGAGGATGCAGATGAAGAGACAAGAGGATGCAGATGAAGACAAGGAGGATGCAGATGAAGACAAGAGGATGCAGATGAAGACGAGGAGGATGCAGATGAAGAGACAGGAAGGATGGATGACGAGGATGCAGATGAAGAGACAAGAAGGATGCAGATGAAGACGAAGGATGCAGATGGAAGACAAGGATGCAGATGAAGAGGACGGGGATGAGACAAAGAGACAAAGAAGAGGATGCAGATGAAGAGAAGGATGATGAGAGATGATGGATGAGACGAGGATGGATCGAGATGAGAATGGAGGAATGAAGGATGGAGAATGAGGATGGAAGAGGGAAGATGGGAAGAATGAGGAGGATCATGGGAGAGATGGATGGCGAGAAAGATGAGGAGATGTGAGAAAAGGATGCAGATGGAAAGACAAGGAAGATGCAGATGGAGAGACGGATGCATGAAGAGACGAGAAGGATTCAGATGGAAAGGCGAGAAAGGATGCAGATGGAAAGAAGAGGAGGATGCAGATGGAAAGAAGAGGAGGATGCAAATGGAAAGACGAGGAGGATGCAGATGGAAAGACAAGGAAGATGCAGATGGAAAGACGAGAAGGATGCACATGAAGAGACGAGAAGGATGCACATGAAGAGACGAGAAGGATGCACATGAAGAGACGAGAAGGATGCACATGAAGAGACGAGGAATTTAAATCAATTACCTCAATTATATATTACAGAATTGTATATTCTGTAATATATAATTGAGGTAATTAAGTTAATATTTGCAACATGCGGGCAGAGTGTTGCAAAATCTTTATAAACCTTAGTGCCTTACCGAAATAATTAAACAACCTTTTGGATGAAATCGAAAAGAGTTGAGCAGAGAATATATTGCATGAGACATTCGTTAATTATCTTGTTTTTATCTAGGTATTTTGAATTATATCGCATGTAATAAATCGTTTGACAATGTTACAGAACACTGCATGTGTTATAACATTGAGGGGTGTTATAACACAATGCACGGTTCAAACGATAAGCTTTCCGCGAGTCTTATAATCTTCAAAGAGTTGTTCACTTAACATACATGTTCAATCATGTACAGTCATGGATATCAATGTTTTAGCATGATAAAACTATTACAATGCGAAAGCACGATCTCCATAATCACTTGCCATGATATTGTTGTTGCATTTTATAGACATGTCGAGCGTACGGACAGTGAAAGAACGCGAACTCTGGCAGTGGTGGGTGCTTACAATTGTTTGTTTCCATCAAACAAATAACTTCTTCTTCAGTCTTTTTTTAGGTACAAGAGATGAAGATCAAGAAGAAGATAGAGAGGAGTACGTTATTTTTTCCTGTCCTAATCTTAACTTGTTTTTAGATTTTTCGTTTAGATGAGGAGGAGGCTGATGAAAAGAAGAGGATGCTGACGGAGAGACGAGGAAGATGCTGACGGAGCTACGAGGAGGATGCTGATGGTGCTACGAAGAGGATGCTGATGGTCCTGCGAGGAGAATGCTGATGGTCCTGCGAGGAGGATGCTGATGGTCCTACGAGGAGGATGCTGATGGCGCTACGAGGGGGATGCTGATGGCGCTACGAGGAGGATGCTGATGGCGCTACGAGGAGGATGCTGATGGTGCTACGAGGAGGATGCTGATGGTGCTACGAGGAGGATGCTGATGGTGCTACGAGGAGGATGCTGATGACGAGATGCTGATGGAGCGAGAGATGCTGATGGAGCGACGAAGAGGATGCTGATGGTCTGAGGAGGATGCTGATGGTCCTACGAGGAGGATGCTGATGGCGCTCCGAGGAGGATGCTGATGGCGTTACGAGGTGGATGCGTATGAAGCAACGAAGAGGATGCTGATGGAGCGACGAAGAGGATGCTGATGGAGCGACGAAGAGGATGCTGATGGAGCGACGAAGAGGATGCTGACGGAGAGACGGGAAGCATGCTGATGGAAAACAAGATGAAAAACAAGATGAGGTATAAAAATTTTTTTATTTGTTTCACTGACTTGTAGCTTAGTGACTTCAGTCTTTTTTCAGGTTTATGTGTTTGTTTTTATTGTGTCGCTAATTTGTTCTTTGGCTATCTTTTAGATTTTTAAGAAATCTTGGATTTTGAGAGAGCATATATACTCTGTTGAATTCGGCGTATTCTTACTAAGTCAGAGAGTTCCCTCGCTCTCTGACTTAGAAAACGAATTTTGTGGTAAAGTATTTCAAAGTAGGCTCCTGCCACCTATTTTGGAATAATGTTGTACAAATTTCTATTAAGTAATGATTTTAGAATAATAATGTTGTTTGAAAAGCATTTATGCCGTGATGAATAAATAACATCCATCGGTAGTTTTGAAACGACTGTCAGCTTAAAATATGCATATGTATTTAAATTAAACATGGTCACCATGCCAGCAAGTGTCAGCGTTTGATAAATGTTTTCGAAATACGCTTTTCAATGCAATATGGAAATTTGTCATCATAACGTGCACAAAATCGCTGTTTCGTAATAATATATACGCAATTTTAACAAATATTTAATGATGTTTGGGGCTGTTTTCATTCAACCGTAGCTATAGTGTGTTTTCTTTGACGTCATATAAGCCATGTTGGGAGAGTACATGAGAGTGTCGAAGCTCAGCAAAGCATAAAATTAGCAGAAATTCTTTTCACTGTATGGAATTTTGCCCCAACATGGTAACTGATGAAAACAATTTAGAGGAAGAAATCATTAAGGTGTAAAATGATTTTTTCATCAGCTGGCAATCCATTTGGGACTTTTCACAGTATTTTTAATTCACGAAAATTTACATAAAACGTACAAAATGACATACCTCGCAACAAGTATAAAACATGTGAAAATTGATCATCAAATTTACTGGCATTTCCCCAGCATAGTAGCGGCATCTTCTTTCATGTTTAGAGATTATTTTACACCTCAATGTTTTCTACTCTCATGTCCTTAGACCCAAAAAAAAAATTTACATCTGTAATGTAATGTATGATAAACTTAAGAATAAATTTAAGAGAAAGGAACTTCTGAAACGACTTCAAGTAATATGTAAGTTTTAACAAGTAAAAATGTTCGTACAATAAATGATAAAAAACAATCTCCAAACATTGTTTAAGATTTTTAGACATTAAGCTGGCTTGAAGACCACTGTTTTTTGCAAAAAATTCGGCAATTTCGCCTCCGTACCTTCAATGGCGGCGCTCATGCAGGCTTCAAAGATGGCGTCCAATTTAGCCTTCCAGTTGTTGTAGAGTTCACTGGGTTTAAATAAGGTCGAGATAGATAGTTCACTATACCACGACGAAAAATTGCATGTAATTTACAAACTCTTGGCGTCACGTTCATTTGCTATAATAAAATTTACAATAAATATTTTTTTATTATTGATTGAACTATGGACGAATAAGAAAATTCATATCTAGAAATGACATGAATGAAAGGCAAAAGTAAATAAAAAATGTGACTATTTTTGACCAATGACATTAGGATGTTGATAGTGGTTACAATGGATGATAGTGGATAATTATAGACATGCTTTCAAAATGGCGTATGCTGAACAATTTTATTTTCAGTCAACTTGGAGCACACTTAATCATTTTATGGCAAGAATAGGTAAATGTTGGCTGAACTGTATAAAATAAGGCGTTCAAGGATGCAATTCGGAAGCGTAAAAAAAGACTTGAGGCATATGCAAGAGAACTATCTTCACGTAGCAGACTGACATTTGTGGTGAATTCACTGAATTGCTCTGGAAGCTAACAGTTATTGGTTGTTATTCTGGCTATGTGAAACCAATCTATCTGCATGAGTTCTATCATGATTTTAAACAGCAAATCGATGCGTTGCGTATGAGTTGTATCGACCAGCTTACTACACAGTCAACACTTCACCAATTTGGAATTTGAAACATTTTGGTGATAAGAATTTTATACCGACGTATCCCTGCGATAAAAAGACTCACAAGAAAAACTGTTTTGTTCAGAGTAAGGTAAAAATATTTTACTCTCTGATTGCCTAAATATTCTTTGAGTATTTAAAACTGGCTCATATAAGACCATACATGTATGTAGTTAATGGGATCTACATTTTAGCTAGCGTGTGCAATATTTTTATAAGTAAAACGATGCACGGTAGTGAGGTAACTTAGTGATTAAATGTACTTGAAAGCCGAGGGAGATTTTGTAGTAAAAGTCACAAGACTTGTAGCACCGAGGGACTTTAGCTAACCTGCCAGGGCTTTCAAGTGCATTTGATTGCCAAAATGTTTTAGTCAGTGCTTCACACACTGTTTATAAATTTGGATCTGCAGCTATTATTACCTAAGTGAAGATCTATTGATTGTCATGCTTTATTTTATCTCCATGTTTTTTATATTTTCACCATCATAAGTTGAACATTTGAGTTACCTTGCATGAGTCGTTTTACTTAAAATATGTTCTTTAACAATTTTGGTTCATCATTGTTTTTGTTTTCTTGTAATTGATTTTATTTAGTATTTGTTAATATTGCAACTAAAATATTAACTCGTTTCAGTCTCCGCTTGCTGAAATCAAGATGGCTTCTAACCTTGAACATTTCAAACATTACAACTCAATGGTTGAAACCATTGAACTATTTAATCAAGTTACATTTGTTTCATCGTGTGCAATTCCTCTTTATGGATATCAAAGATATAGACAGTTATTCAAGAATGAAATAAAATATAGAATGTTTTCATTTGTTGATTTGACATACAGATTGGTTTGTTTACCTCCCAAAAAGGGAGGAAATTTGTTCACAGCGAACATAAATGCAGTCTTTACAATGTTTTTTAGCTGTCTTGTCATAAATATCGAAAATGTTTAATGATTGATAATATTTTTAATTGTTTAACTAAATGAGTTTGTTTTATGCTTCATTAGAAACTGATGGAAGCTTTGAATAATTTTGGTCAAAACGGCAGATAAATCCTGGGGATGGGGATGAAGCTTTCTATGTTTACAGATGTATACCATTGTGAATTTATAATTTCATTGCTATCACAATTTATAGATTAATATAAAAATTTTGATGCTATGAGATGGTCTCATCAATGTGCAACAATTGAACTGGATTTCCAACTTCCTGAGAGATTCAACCTCACGCTAGGTAAGTTTTGCCAGTAAGCTTTTCGTTGAATAACCTCACTACGGTCTTGATACTTAATTTATTTAACCAACAGTGACATGATTATTTGTTTCTATAGAAACCTATTGTTATATATTTATATGCTTATATATACTATATACTTATATGCAGCCTGCTACATTGCTGAACACTGAAAGTCCCACCTGCATTCAAACTCGCATAAACAAACCCACCCATATAAGTATATAGTTACATTTAATATTGCAATGTTAACAGATAATTGCAATATAATAGTTAATAGTCCATGCATGTATCCCTGTGCATCCATCCCCATGTAAATATCATTGATAATGGCTCACAAACATATGTAAGCCTGTGTATTATAGTCAGAGGATTACGGCACAGTTTAAGTTTCCATGAAATTGTAGATCTTTACAAATTGTAACAATTTAGTAATTTATCAATATTCTATTACTCTATTGACAGTGGTGAAGGAGATATAAAATTACATCCTGTTATTATTCATCGAGCTATTGTAGGTTCAGTTGAAAAATGATTGCTATTCTTGCTGAAAGCTTTGGTGGAAAATGGTGAGTGTTTTCTTGGCTCATGCCAGAGCTTAAAGCAAATGAAATGTCCTTAAAATGTTAAATTAAAATGATACAAAGTTTCTTAATTGTTTGGAAATTTTTTATCATTTTTACTCTACTTTACTTTATTTCAAAATTTTGACGCACTGCATTTTCTGTTATTTTCTAGGATTTTATGGCTTTCTCCCCATCAAGTTGTAGTAATTCCTGTCAGTAGTAAATATGATGATTATGCCGAACCGGTAAATTTAATTTGGTAAGCCTTAGATCGAACTTGCACAGGCTAATGCAAACTCAGCTATGGACAAATTGTTGCTATTTTATGAATTGGAATTTTTGTCCTTTTTTTATTGACATTTTGGTCATGTTTAGATTCAAAAGAAGTTCCATGCAGCTGGTTATCGTGTTGATACAGACTTGGATCACGGATCAACACTAAATAAGAAAGTTCGCAATGCACAACTTTCACAGTACAACTTCATTCTTGGTATGAATAAGTCTTTTAAATTATTTTTATTTACTGTACAAATAAATAGAAATTAAAATGGTTTGGAACCACTGTTGGTGTTCAGAGTTTACTGACGTTTCCACAACATTAGTCAGGTTCGCCGTATTTGTTCTCTAGACGTCATGACAGAGAGGAAAATATGTGGATGTTTTAGTTTGTGTGGTATACTTATTAATTGTTCGCTTGTAAGCCGTTTATAAGGTGCTGATATTTGTATTCTGTTCAATGATTTTTGTTTTGAGTTTGTTAACCT